ATTGTTGATACCACGAGACACATGACCCCGAATTACGCGAAAATCTAGAGAAAAGAATAAAGTAAAGACATTAGTGATAGACCTTCGCTATATAACCTAAGAAAACCTCAGTTAGGACCAAAAGATAACGTAGTTGGACCCCGACGTTACCTTCACAAGACTCAAGCCCAAAATACTCGGACCAAGTTTCACCACGCCTCGATCGTCGCCTACCAACTTTTAGGGCTTTAGCCTTGTTTTCTGATAGATTAGTGTGTATTTATTGAGATCAGATTAGGTTATCAACTAACAACCCCCAAAGTCACCACGCTCACAACGTACGTACGTACGAATATAAAAATTGGTCTTCCAAAGAAAGCATCAGCAAAAACACTGTTGCATTTGCAAAAGTGAAATTCGACACCAATATGAACCAGTCGACCAAAGACAACACTAGCAAAAGCCAACACCAACAAATGGTACCAACAACTTTTGTTTTGTCGATTCCCTTTTCTGCACCTAGTCCATATAATAACGCCCTAGATCTGTAGATATATGTAATCTTATCTCAGTGTTAAAAATTTTAGATATGAAGAAACTCCCAAACGAATGTTTTTATATAACTTTTAATAACATTAAAATAATTATTTTCATGTGAACTCGTAAATAGTCGAAGAATTAGTATACCGATTTATGGAGAGAACCAACACATTATTTTCACGATGCAAGACATAAGAAGTTTACTTTAACGTTAAACAATGAAGAACAAGAGCAATTAAATCATTTCGAAATTACTCTCGAAAGTCAACAAATACTACAATTTCAATACACAAATTTTTTCGTTTCTGTTGTTTATTGATGGAATCCGAAACTGGCTTCACGATGGAAATATAAACAGGTTGTAACGTCGAAAATGTATCAACTCCTCATTGATTACAATGTTTTTACGAACTGTAAGAAACTTTTTATCATACTATTAATCGCATGAAATTATTTGAAACGAATAGTACTTAGTAATTTTTATGAGAACAATATAATTACCTTTATGGATTTGTTTAATTTTTTTTTTTTCTTTTTTATTTCATCGTATTTAATATTACACCACATTATTAATACGTAATTATATTTATACTTAATCGTTATCTACTTATGATTATCATGTATTCCCTGACTTTAAATATTTTAGTAGTTTCTCACATTCTTTGTTATTACTTTCGATCATTTCTTTACTTATCCTGTTCTTGCTTGAGAATGACAGTATCGATTTGAGTATTTGTATTTCCCCCCCCACTTAACTTTCCCCACTTAACTTATATATACCAGTCCAAATTTCGAACATTGTGATGAGGTTTAACCAGAGGGCTGCCTTCTGTTTACATGTCTGGTTTACATTTTTTCCGGTATACAATTTCTCCATAGACTTGGGGATCTCTTCTTCGTTTGTATCTTCCAGTGGGCTATAAGAGGCTTTCTATATGATTTACAGTTGAAACCAAAATGTTCGGGGTTTGTAGTTCTCCGGGGCAGATCGGACAATCTCCACTCTCTGTTTGCGACAGATTTGTATTTCCTTGAATCTTAGATCCAATCAACTTGGTTTGAAACGCTCTTCGTGAAACGTCGTTCTAAATTCATTAAGTTTTTATAATAATCAGATTGGTGTTGAGTAACGAAAGATATTGGCAAATTTTCTTTGCACGAACACTATACACTGACCTCTTTGAATATTCGTGGAAATATATGATCTTTATCATTTAATAAAATTGGATCAAAAGGTTATTAAATGATACCATTATTCAACGATTATATGAAATCGACCATGAACTACCCGAAGTCCGTAGGAAAAGCATTGTCTGCTAGAATAATACTCTAAAAGATTTAAATCTTCGATGTAATGAACTTGGATCAGAAGGGGGAAACACTTTAGCAGACGCACTTTGCAATAAAATCATGTTGACTTCTTTGAATATTGGTGTCGGAATGGGTATAGGAGAAGCATTTGCAAAATTTTTTCCCGGAGTGGAACCTTTTAGAGGAATTTCAGGTTATAGTGCTATACCTTTAAGTGATTTTCGCAAAAACACCATTTTAATTTCTTTGAACATTAATTATAACAATATTAGATCAGAGGAAAAGCGCTAGTGATGTGCTTTCCATGAATTTCACATTAACTTTACATCTTGAGGAGAACAATATTGTAATAGAAGAAAGAAAAGCAATAGCAGATGCTTTTTGTAAGAACACTACGCTGACTTTTTGAATCTTGATTTTAATTATCTTAGTTCAGAGAAGGAAAAGAATTAGCAGATGTACTCTGCAAAATACCACGCTGAATTTTTTGAATTTTGATTGTAATAGTCTTGGGGTAAAAAGTGGAAAATTCACATTGTAAGAACAATAAGTTAGAATTTTTTAGATCTTTGATAATAACTTAGATCCAAAAGTTGAAAAGTATTGAAGACAACTTTACATAAATATCTTAATAATTTCTGTAACTCCTAATATAATCATAGCTATATAATAAATAATTATTGTAAAGACAAATCGAAATAAAGTTATTTATTTTATGTTATTTTTAAAGAAATTACTTTTTTTTTTTTTTTTTTATACCGGTGGCGTTTACAATTTTTGCCATATATATTATGTATTATAATACGTGAATATTGTTTACTTATTATATAAAAAATTTTTTTTATTTACAGATCTATTTCAGTGTTTCGTCGTAGTCGTTGGCGTTCCTACATCAGTGTTATTCAAAAATAATAACTTTGAATCTCAACTATGGTATAGCATTTAAGACTTTGACCATCTTCTCATACATATAATTTCACTTAACAATCATTGCATGGCATGACGTACCCAGTGAAAAAAAGAATGAATTTGTAGCTACTTTTAAGTAATTTAGATATGGTTCTGTTAGTTTTATTGGATTTATCGTGGTTTGTTTATTGATTACTATAAAAATTTCAGTTATTGTACTTACTTACAGGCTATTGTGGTACGTAACATACTAGCAAAGAGAAATTCAGAACTGGAAGAATTTGTAGCCTGTAGCCACTTGGATAGGAAAATATATAGTTTTGTACGTGTTAGGTTTATCATGATTCGTGTGGTGATTTACTGTAAAAATTCAGATACTATACTTACAGATTAACATGATGACATACCAATTGAAGAAAATTCCAAACCAGAAAGAATTTGCACCATTGGTAGGTGATTTAAATAAGTATATATTATTTTTATATTGGATTTGTCAACTTACTGTAAAAATTTGGATACAATAATTGCAGGCTTTTGGGATAACATGCCTAGCAAAGAAAAATTCTGAATGTAAAAATTTGTAGCAGTTAGTAAGTGATTTGATAATGCGGTATTTACTATAAAGTTCTGATACTGTACAAGCAGACATTTTTGGTGACATCTAATAAAAAAAAAAATCCCAATCTGGGAAGAATTGTAGCCACTAGTAAGTTATTTAATAGGGAAAATGTTAATTTTATATTGGATTTATTATGAATTTGTGTGGTGATTAACTATAAAAATTCTGTTATAGTACTTACAGATTAATGTGATGACATACCTAGTAAAGAAAAATTCCGAAATGGAAAGACTTCGTAGCCACTGATAGGTTGATATATTAGTTTTGTATTTGATTTATCGTGCTTTGTGTAGTGGCTTACTGTAAAATTTGGATACTAAATTGCAGACTATTAAGATAACATGTATAGCAAAAAAAAAATTACCGAACTAGAAAGGTTTGTAGTCGCTAGTAGTGGTTTGATAATTGGTGATTACTGTAAAAAATTCTGATACTGTATTTGCAGACTAATGTGATGAAGAAAATTTCGGACTGGGAAGAATTTGTAGCTGCTGGTAGGTGGTTCGATAGTGATATGTTAATTTTTTGTATTGGGTTTAGCGTAGTTTGTGTGGTCATTTACTATTTACTAAATCTAGAATATCTCACATCCAGCAGTCAGGAAATGATGTGTATGTCACTAGAAGCACCCTAAATTTAAAAAACTACATAATAGAGCTCGGCTTTTTTCTCTAATTAAATCAACAATACATCAACCACAGTATACATTTGTTTATACGATCTCGGTATGTAATATATCTTTCAAATAAAAATCTAATCATAACCGATCAGTGAATACTTTTTAAATATTGGGTACAAACAAAATTAGCGCAGGTGTATAAAATTTATTCGAAAAAATTTCTTGAGTATTGTGATTATTTTTGATTAGTTTTAGTAAAATGTGGGTTTGAGATTTTTTCTTTAATTAGTAGACTTGAAAAATCACTAATGCATATAAAAATTAAAAATTTTTTTTTATTCAATCGAGCTAATCACGTTTGTCCACCACATCATCAATTAGATTTACATACTGTATTCTTATAATAATTTACAATCTTTGATTCATTTAATCATAATCTAACGATTACAAAACAAAAGTATCTAAAAATATTAATTTTTCTTACCAAAATTGCGAATATTAAACATGGTATTTAAAATACCAAAAGTTATGTAATTAAGTTCTACTTTGTTTAACTCAGAAGAATCCACTACTTCATCATTAATCGCGTAATTAATCACCCTTGAAAAATATAATAAATTCAAGGCCAATATAGACTTTGTCCAATAATAATCATTACCAGAAAACAAAGATAAATTGAACATCTGAATTATTGGAGTCCAAATAAATGTTATTGTAATACCAACAATTCTCATTATCCTTTCTATTCTGAATAAAATTTCCGCATCCCAATGGATACAACAAATACAACAAATTCTTTCCACCCAACTACTTACACTAGTAAAAAAACCAATATAAATAGTAATTGCAACCAAACATATAATACCTGTTATAGCGTGTAAATAAACAAAAATATTTAAATAAATACCTGTAAAAACACTTTTAGAATAAAATATAAAACAAACATCTGATAAAACATGACAAAATTCGATCGATAATGGAATAATAAATATTTTTAATCCATATCCTCTTAAATTATTTAATTTAACAAAGTAATTCAACATCATTAAAGTAAAAACCAGGATGGATACCATTCCTAAGAAAATTGAAATCCAAAGAGGTATCGAAAATTTATCCTTGTTCTTATAAAATACCACTGAAGGCAAAACAAAAAGGGATAACAAAAAAATAAAGTCGTCAAAGACATGTTTTCTCTTAATTTTACGTATTATATTTTCATCTTTCGTTTCAAGATCCGATGAACCCTCCTCTGCTTTCGTTTCGGAATCTGAAGAACCTGCCTCCGCTTTTGTTTTGGAACCTGAAGGATTTGCTTCTTTCAATTTCCGAATTCCAATCACATCTTTATCAAACATATAAACTATCAAAGTAGGAACAAGCGTAGAAATCACTGAATCAAAAACATCTCGAGTAGAATCGTATTCCTCTTCAGCAAAAACCATTCCAATAAAATAAATAAAAATTATACACGTGATATTTTTCAAATGAATCATCTTTTTAAAAAGCAAATATATATATATATTTAAATTAAATCATCGATAAAACTGATAAATTTAACATAACAAAGACATAATTACAACACCTTTTTGCATTCATATTTCTTATTATCTACAAAACTAAAAGGAACTCACTTTGCAAGAAATTTAAAGACCACAAGTTACACCTTATAGGAACAAAATATAAACATTGAAGTCAAACACTCCTTAAATTTATTAACATATTAATATTCTATAGAGTTTCTGGTTTTTAAATTACTGCTTAACGTAATTTTGTTTAACGTATAATCACGTTACACTTAAATTATTCAATAAAGTTAGGGAATAATTAATTTATTTTGCTTTCTTACATTGTACATAAATAAACACAAAATTATAATTATCTTTTCTTATCGGTCAAACGATTGTTATACATAAACAGCTGCGTAACGCAGTTGCGCAAAATCAGGAATGGGGGCATATGTCATACAAGATATAAAGCAAACTTTGAAATTGTATTGTGTCAAACCTAGAGATGCAGCACAATGTTATAACTTGAGTTTATATATTGAAGTTGATAATTGAAAAATTTTTATTAACATATAGAACTTACGGTTTTTCATTTTAATATAAAATAGTCTCATGATAATATGGGTCTTTCCCTTGAAAATCGCCTTCCGACATCACGAAATAAAACCCGCGTATTTGTTCATGATTATATGTAAACCTCCTTTGCTTTATTGATTCAATAGTTTATTCGATAAACTATTGAATCAATAAATACAAAGGGGGGATTTACATATAAACATGAACTAATACACGGGTTTGATTTTGTCCGAATTAGCCTGATCGGAAATGTCGGAGGGTGATTTTCAAGGCAAAGACCCCATATCACAAAATAGAAAAACTATATATTATAGATAAGATAGCACTCAGACTTTTTCATTACAACAGTATTACTGTATTTAAAAGTATATATTATATATGTGATGAGTCAAGTTGGGTTAAACTTGACCCGAGTCAAATTAATAAATTAAAAAAAAACCGGCCCGGCATCAATATAATTCCGGCCCGCACTAACCCTAAAATTCTGCTGGGAAATTTTGACTCAGGTCAAGTTTAACTCAACCTAAAAACCAACTTGACTCGTAACATATACACAATAATTTAGTAAATTTAAATAAAGACCTCGAAATTTTAGCATTAGCTGCTGTTAGTGCTCCGAATCGAATCGGGCAACCTGACAAATTTTCGGTCAGGTAGAAAAATCCGACCCAAAAATTTCGGGTCATGTTCGAGTTGAACGTTAACCCCGATTCGACCTGAATTAGAGATGCCCAAAATACTGTAAGCATTTTATATATTTGGTTTTGATTCTAATAACAAGTACATATGTGTTTTTAAATAATATTTTAAACAAGACCATGAAAGACAGGCAAATATGCATAGGTTTCTTATAAGATCGCTAGATCAGGTGTGAAATTTATTTTTTTTTAAAAAAAAACTGTCAATACGTAAATCGAAATTTCGACCATGAAACCACATTCTGCTCTCTAATATAAAAAAAAATAATCCTCGCAACTTTTGATGCAAAATATTTTAATCTTTAATCTAAATTTAACGTAAGATTTTTTTACTTCGGTACTTTAAAATATTAAAATATTACGTCTCTAACTTAACTTTAACGTACGATTTTTTTTCACTTTAAAATATTACGCATATTAAAATTGGGTTGAGATCTGATTGGTGCATATTTATCGATATCTCAAGTTATCGTGCAAACTCTTATGATCATAGATTTTTTTTCTTCTTGTTATTTTTTGTACGTTATTACATAAGTACAACAATCTTAAATTAAAACTCAGTTAGCTAATAATGACTTGCAAATCATAATCATAATTGCACGATAACATCGATATTGGATCATGCAATGAAAAATATCGTAAAATTTGTTCTGCCGGAGCAAATTTCATGATATTTATCATAATATGACCAATATCTTATAATTATACTAGTTTCCATTTACTTTCATATATGTTGTAGCAAGCTAAATGCTCTTGTAATTCTTCTTTTCTACTATTACAAAGGTTGCTTTTTACATCTGGGTAAAGGTCTGAATATCTTGCTGCCAAAATTTTAAGAATTGGGAGCTTTTCTTGAAGGCATTTAATAATTGTACAAAGTTTCTTACTTAAGGAATCACATCTTATTCCATTTTGTTTACTAACTTTTTCCTATAGAAGAGCCTAGCTATATTTGCAATTCTGAATCTCTGGTTCTACCTTTTTAAATGTTTCTAAACACATCAATTCTGCACTGGTAATTGTATTTTGGATTAGATTTAAAAAGAATTTTGCTGGGGACTCAATTATATACAATTTTTATTTTAATATCATATTGAAGTTCAAGCAAGATAAGGGTTGGGATCCTATGGCCTAGTGATAGGCACCCAACCCTCCATGAGCAGGTTTCGGGTTCAAGTCCTAGTAGGTATGTTTACTTATGAATATTTGAATATACTCACACATGAAAAGTTCAAGTGAGTACTTATTTGGAATAGGAATTTCCAGAAAGAGGTCTATTATAGAGAGATGGCACTATGTATAACAAGCAAATGTTATAGAAGGTTCTATTATCTGAAAGTTATGTTTGTAAATTCTTGATTGGCATAGGTAGCACCAACAACCCCTAAGATAGCATTGGGGATCTTGATTGGGAGAATAACCAGATAGTAACTAGAATTGAAGTAATGAGAAAAATAGTAAAACACAAAGGGACTTGTAATAAAGAATTGGCCTTATCAAATTTGAAATACCTCTAGCATCATACAGAACTTACTAGCCAATTAGAAGTTAAAACATGGAGGTGTGTACATGGTGATATATCTAATAGGCTCTGGTCATACCTGTATAGGAGTCTTCAGACATTAAGAGAACCTGGAATCACCAATATAAGTATAGCTAGCATAAGTGCATATAGTTGTAACTGAGCTACAACTGCTAAGAATCACTATAAAAAGAACTAATAATGTACTTATTACACAAGAAGTCTCATGATATCACTCAACTATACTGAGTATTGGAAGCATATGCAAAACATGTCTAGGCATCTTATTACTATATTGGGAAGTACAGTCATTAGCACAATTATCGAATTCAATATGTTAAAATCTGGGTACCAAAGTTACAGGAAACTAGCTAGTTATGGCAGCATGCAGGCTTGAGATACTTACCTAATTGGATAGAGGCAGCTACATGGCTTGAGATATGAATTTCTGGAAATATACTAGTAGGGATTAAGAGAAATCTCTTTGTCAGGCACACCAAACTGGAAGTAAAAAGCATCTACCTAGAGCAAAATATATGATTTGGGAGTTGAGATAGTAGGTAATATGGATAATATAGCGAACATATAAATACTAATTGGCAGTTGGAGAGAAAAGTACAAATCTAGATTAGCTATATAGTAGGAGTACAAGAAGGTTTTGGTGAGTTTTAGCTATGGATAAATAATTTGTATAATTTGATGTTCTAGTTCTAGTTCTTATATATAATATATATATATATTAGTACTATCATATGTTAATCATTTAAGTATTAAATAAAGTCTGGGCAGGTACTATAATTCAAATATTAAAAAAAAAAAGTTCAAGCAAGATATTGTCATAACTTCTAAATCATTGTCTGCTATAAAGCTTTTTTTTGTCAAAGAGACTGCTTTTTTTTTTTATTTATCTTCTAAGTGACATCTTATTTTAACCAATTTTAAATTTATATTTTTAATACTAACTAAGTTTTTAATTCTATACAAAATACTAAAGTTCATGGTCTTGATAAATTTATTATATACTAAGTCTTTATTTTTTTCTTAATGGCTGTAATTGTTGCTACACTATTAAAACACACTATTACTTTAATATTTTTTAAAACTAAAAGAAGTACTATTCATATTATAGCTAGTTTAGAGTATGTAGAGAATAGCCAATACTTGATTCTTGCAAAATTTTTATTAAGTTATATAGGTTTATTGTTATTTACTTGAACTTACTTGATACCTAGCATAGTAATCTTTGTTAGTTTTTTACTTATAGCTATAGATGCCATAAAAATAGTTTTCAAAAAAAGCCTATTTCATCTTTATTAGAGCAAATTAAAATTTTTTATAAGAAAAAGCAAATTTAATTTATATAATTATATTCTTTATAATTTTATTTATTCAAAAAAAGTATTAAAAAATTTTATCTTTTAAGTAAAAGTAATTCAAAACAATTCCATCTTCAAAATTTAATTTTGGGTTTTAAAGCCCAAAATAATTTTGTCCTTATTTATACTTGTGGCTAAGTAGCTATCTATATAGTATATCAGAACTTTACTTTTTTTTTAGTAAGTTTTTTTTGTAAAATTTACTAAGTGTAGTACTAAAATCTTGGTTTTTAATTAATTTTACTTCTAGCAAGTTTATCTGTATTATATTTAGTAGATATTGTTTATGACTATCTATAATCTTTAATGATTTTTTTTTTTTTTCGGTATTAAGGTGACCTCTATGGCTGGGGCTTTTTATTAGATAATTAACAACATTTACAATTATGATGAGGGTACAACTAGC